CTACTACCTCCGATAAATGTTATATGCAACTTTTACAATTTTTGTCCGCAAATATTATGTGCAACTAAAAAAATTCTTTCTTCTTTTAGTAAAAAAAAACTAGTCAAATGTCAATTTTACCCTCATTAAAAAATTAAACATAATTTACTAACTATAATCAGATTTTATCAATCACTAATTCTCACCCAATTTTCACCCCAACCAACCCAATCTAATTCATCTACTCTTCATCTTCAATTCAAGAAACCCAAAACCATCTTCATTCATCTGCATCTTCATCTTCCCCCATATTTTCTCTCTCCTCTTTCAGTCTCATTATCTCTTTGAATTTTTATAGATCTTCTTTCTCTCTCTTCAACTTCAAGAATATCGTAGGATTTCTGGGATTTTGGGGTGGTTTTTGTCAGATTTTTGGGATTTCGTCGGGCTTTCGCGGTGGGATTTCGTTGGGCCGGGGTTGTTGTCTAGGTTTCGTAGAGGAGAGTTTGTGGGCGTGGATTTTGTGGGGGTGGTGGTGGGTTTCATAGAGGTCGATTTCGTGGGGTTGTTTGTTTGGAGGTGGTGGCCTGGGTTTTTGTGGGTGGTACGGTGGTGATTTCGTGGGGATGGTGGGTTTTCATGAGGGTGGTGGTGGTTTCGTGGGGTTGGTTGTGGTGGTGGTTTCATGGGGGTGGTAGTAGTGGTGGTGAAGTCGGCGTTGAAGGCGGTTGTGGTGTTGGTGAAGGCGGTGTGGGTGGTGTTGGCTGGTCTTGGTGGTGGCAGTGGGCAGTGGCAGACCCACATGTAGTCATTGTGGGTCCTAGGTCACACTATTTTTTTGAAAAAAAATTAAAAAAAAAAAAAATATTCCAGATTGTTAAAAGGTGACTTTCTAACTATAGAATGATATTGAAAAATAGAGAAGTGAACAAGTAGAGAAATATTGCTACGGTTAATTTTTATTGCATTCTCCATAGTTCACAATGGTGAACTTATTTATAGGCAAAATAATGTCATACAATTATTTGCACAATTGTATTATTATACTATTATTGTACTAAGTTTGCTACCAAATATTGTACTAGAGAAGTTCATGTGAACTTCACTTTGTATTTATCTTCAACACTCCCCCTTGAACATTCACATGAAATGGAGTATGGATTGTCTCGTGAAACTTGCTAGGTAAAACCTCATGGGATAAAACCATAGCTAAAAGTATTATATGCTTTGATATACTACCCCGTTAAAAACCTTTTCAGGAAAAACCCAGTGGGATAAAAACCTGATCGAAAGGAAAAAGAGTGCAGTGTATATAATACTCCCCCTGATTTCAGCATAGTTCACGAAGATGTAGCATTTTAATTTTGTGAACTAATTGCTCAAATTTCTTAGAAGGAAGTGATTTGGTGAACAGGTCGGCAAGGTTGTCACAAGACTGAATTTGCTGGATATCTATTTCCTCATCCTTTTGCAGATCATGTGTGAAGAATAGTTTTGGGGATATATGTTTTGTTCTATCTCCCTTAATATATCCTTCAGTTACTTGAGAGATGCATGTTGTATTGTTTTCAAAGATGGTGGTTGGATTTTCTGTTATTGCTTTCATTCTACACTCTTCTTGGATATTACTAATCATCGACCTCAGCCATACACATTCTCGTCCTGCTTCATAAAGGGCTATCAACTCTACATGATTTGAGGATGTCGCAGTCAATGTCTGCTTTGTTGATTTCCATGATATTGCCGTGTCGCCATAAGTGAACAGATATCCATTTTGCGACTTGGCATTTTGATCGAGGATCCGATATATATCCAACGTTGGCATACCCAATGAGGGCAGCATCTTGTTTTGGTTGATAATATAATCCAAGGTCTTGTGTTCCTCGTAGGTACCAGAGTAAGTGTCGGACTCCCTTCCAATGCCTATATGTTGGTGCATTGCTGTGCCTGGGTAATAAGTTCACAGAGAAAGCTATGTTGGGTCTAGTGTTGTTAGCTAAGTACATTAAGGCTCCAATTGCACTTAAGTATGGTAATTCTGGACCCATAATTTTTTTCATCTTCTTCTCATGGTCTGAATGGATCGTTTTTCATACTCAAAGAACGAACATCCTTGGGAAGTTGATTGGAGTTGCTTTGTCCATGAAGAATCTTTTCAAAACTCTTTCTGTATAGTTTGATTGATGGAAAAAAATACCATGACTCAAGTGCTCAATTTGCAATCCAAGGCAAAATTTAGTTTTTCCAAGGTCTTTCATCTCAAATTCTTTCATCAAGTATTTTGTAGTTTTCTCAAGTTCATTTGGGGTTCTGATGATAAACTGCAATAATAGAAAATCCCGATTGTGATCGCTTTATTAAAACACAGGGACTAAATTGGTTGTTCTTGAACCCTTCTCTCATAAGGTATTCACTGAGACGGTTATATCACATCCTTCCAGATTGTTTCAATCCATAAAGTGACCTTTTTAGTTTTATGGAAAGTAATTGTCTAGGCTTGTGGTTTTCTTGTAGTTTTAGTCCTTCGGGGACTTTCATGTAAATGCCTGTATCGAGTGACCCATACAAATACGCAGTCACTACATGCATTAATCGCATTTGCAGTCCTTTTGTGGCTGTCAAACTTATCGGAAATCTTAATGTAGTTGCATCAACTGTTGGAGAATATGTTTCTTCATAATCAATCCCTGGAATTTGAGAAAATCCTTGGGCTACAAGTCTTGCCTTGTATCTAACTATCTCATTTTTCTCATTACGTTTTCTCACAAATACCCATTTGTATCCAACGGGTTTTACACCTGCTGGTGTAAGAGTTATATTTCCGAAAACTTCTCGTTTTTCAAGTGACTTCAACTCAACCAGCATTGTCTCCTTCCACTTTGGCCAATCGCTCCTATGTCAACATTCTTCCACTTTTCTTGGTTCCACATCATTTTCATCGGACACAATGTCGATTGTGATGGAATTTGCAAATATTTCATCCACGATAACATCTTTCCTATTCCAATGAGTCTTGGTAGAGACGTAATTCATTGAAATTTCATTGTTATCGACGTTTTGAACATCTTGTTCATTCCCCGTAGGGTTGTTTTCTTGTTCGCCCCTTTTGGATTATCATCATTTTCTTTACTTTCATCCACATTTGGTCTTTCTTGACCTTCTGACGGGGGAACATCATTAGTCTCATTTTGTATTCCTTCCAATCTTTTCAATTTCCTTGGTTTATAATCTTTTGAACCAAGTGGTCTCCCACGCTTTCTGCGTGCTTGAGATTCATTCTCAATAGCCTTATTATCGGTTGGGATTTCAATACGTGTGGGGGCATTTTCTGTTGGTATATGTGATTTAGTCACATTCTTTGTGTTTACAAATCCATCAGCCAATTGATTTGCAACACTTTGTAAATGAACAATTTTCTTGACTTCTTGTTCACACATATTTGTTCGTGGGTCTAACATCAACAGCTGTGTTGCAATTCAAATAATTTTTATTTCTTTCTTGCGTGGGTCCACTTTCTCTCCCCCTAAAGCTAGGAATACTGCTTCATTAAAGTGACAGTTGGAAAATCTAGCCGTAAATAAGTCACCAGTCAATGGTTCAAAGTATTTAATTATAGAGGGGGATTCAAACTCGACATAAATTCCCAACCTTCTTTGTGGACCCATTTATGTTCGTTGGGGTGGAGCAATGGGAACATATGCAGCACAACCAAAGATTTTTAGATGTGAGATACTTGGTTCTCGACTACAAACAAGTTGTAGTGGTGAGAATTTATGATAAACTGTAGGTCTCAATCTAATTAGTGCTGCTGCATGTATTATAGCATGTCCCCAAGAAGATGATGGCATTTTTTACCTCATTAATAATGGTCTGGAAATCAATTGTAATCTCTTAATTAGCGATCAGCTAGACCATTTTGTGTATGAACATGAGTTACTGGGTGTTCAACATCAATTCCAATTGACATACAGTAATCATTAAATGTTTGGGATGTAAATTCCCCAACATTGTCGAGTCTTATTTTCTTTATTGTATGATCTGGGAATTGTGCTCTTAATTTGATAATTTGGGCAAGTAATTTTGCAAAGACAACATTCTTACTTGAAAGCAGACTGACATGTGACCATCGTGTAGAAGCATCAATTAAAACCATGGAATATCGAAATGGTCCACATGCCGGATTAATTGGCCCACAAATATCTCCTTGAATTCTTTCCAAGAATTTTGGGGATTCAGTAGCAATTTTGTTCATAGATGTCCTAATTATCAATTTGTCGAGTGAATATGCAGAGCATGTTAATTCATCTGATCAAGGAATTTTGGCATTTCTTATTAAATGTCCAACTGAATTCGCTATTATTCTTTGTATCATCCCAGTTGTTGGATGTCCCAAACGATCATGCCATAAAATAATCAAATGTTTGTTATCTAACTTCTGGTTAGATATCATATTGATTTCCACGGGTGGTATGTTTATATGATATAACCCCGAAGAATATGCTGGCAATTTCTCATAAATATGTTTCTTGCCATGTTTTTCTGCCGTGAGGCATATATACTCCTTTTCATTTGTTGTTGTTGTTTTTAAATGATAGTCATTTTGGCGTACATCTTTAAAGCTTATGAGATTTCTTTGAGATTTACTCGAGTATAAAGCATTATTGATCATCAATTTTTTTCCATTTGGAAGCATTATACAAGCCTTTCCAGATCCTTCAATTAATTTTGCTGACCCGGAAATAGTGTTTACATTTGCTTGAAACAACTTTAGTTGTGAAAAATATTTTCTATCCTTCAAGATAGTGTGTGTTGTTCCACTGTCCAAAAGGCACTGATATTCGGAACCAACTTCAGGCATATCCATATCTTCATAAAATAAATATGAGATTAGTTTAGAATAATATCATACAAACCTTTTATTGATGATAGAAATTAAAAATACATGACTAGACATTTAAAATACACTACATAACAGAAAATACATTAAAACATAGTATATATTACATTAGTAAGTGGGTTATCTAAGCATTGTTATTTTCTCCAAAGATGAAATCATTTCCAATTTCAGCATTGTCCATGAAAAAATCAAACACATCAAGGGTAGGACATGGAGCATTTTCTTCATTAACATAATTTGCTTTTGCATTTTTCTCTTTGCCTTTTACAGAAGCCTGGTAAAGGTCTACCAAATGTTTGGCCGTACAACAAGTATGTCCCCAATGCCCTATCATGCCACATCTATAACATATGTTTTTTCCTTTTGAAAGAGTTTGTTTGTGGCTTCTAGATGACTGTCCCTTCTGTTTTTCAGAATTTTTAAAATTACATTTTCTTTGAAAATTATTTCTACCACGTCCTCGGCTTCGTCCGCGATAATTTCCACACCCATTGTAATTTCCACGTCCACCTCTTCGTGTAGCATTTGCCTCGGGTGGATAAGAACTTGTTGCATTTGCCTCATGATGAGTGGCCAAAGACCCAGTTGGTCTAAGATTATGATTTTTCAACAAAAGATAACTATTTTGTTTCACAACAAGCAATACACTCATTAATTCATTAAACCTTTTGAAACCTCTTTCACGATATTGTTCTTGCAACAGTATGTTACTTGCATGAAAAGTAGTGAGTGTTTTTTCAATCATCTGTTCATTGGTGACTGGATGATCACAGTATCTCAATATAGATACTATCTCATGTATGGTTGAATTGTAATCAATTACAGATTTGAAATTCTGGAACCGTAAATTTGTCCAGTCAAATAATTCCTTAGAAAGGAGCACCCTTTTGTGGTGTCCAAATCTTTCATTAAGGCAATCCCATAATTCTTTGGGATCTTCAACCATCATGTACTCAGTTTTAAGGCCTTCATGCAAATGATGCCTTAGTAACACTAAGGCTTTTGCCTTTTCTTATTCAGTTACAGGTTTTACAACCGTCATTGTAGAAGTGATAGCATCAGTTGCTTGACCAGAGAGACATTTATTATCTTTAACAATGTGCTCCAACCCTTGAGCTTTTAAATTCACCATGGCATCCACTTTCCATTTCAAAAATTTCTTTCCAGATAAATCTAGGATGTTGAATTGTCTTTTCATAAGATCTCCCATTTTAACTACAACAAATCACGTGATAATTAGTTTATAATAATAAATCATATATACAACATATATGTTTAATTCTTCCATATTTATAGTTTGTTAATGAAACACGTGATTATTAAATTTATTTAACAATAATGAACCATAAATAATATAGTTCTTTTCTCCCCCTTGGTTTATTATTGTAAGTAATTATATAATTAGGCAAAAATAAATCATATTAGTCGTATAAACAGCAAAACGACAACAACAACAGTAGTAACAATAATTATATAATAACGGTAATATTATACAATGATGGTTAATAAAAACAAAACAACATAATAAAACAAAAAAAATGCTTTAACCTACTAAAACGACAAAATAAACAAACTTCACTTGTACATCATGACAAAAATTAATATTGCTACTAACCGAACTACAAGCGCCATAATTAGAAGAAAATATTGTTTTATCTTCCTTAAATCTTCCTCAAAAGTGAAGGTGTGGGTGTTTTGGTTGCCGTCATCGGGGAACATATCGGAGAAGAAGGGGTGAAAAATTTTGGGTGATTTTTGGAAAAAAAAGGGAAAGGATAAGGGATTTGTGGTGAGATCGGGAGAAAATTTGCCTTTTATAGAGGTAGGTTTATCCGTTACTGTTTTATATAATTGTAAAAATATCATATAATAGTCTAATGTACCGGCAAAATTATGGTCCAAATATAAATATTTATAATTGTAAAAGGTTATCACATTGGGAATGCAAGCCATAGTGGTCCGAGAGCTCTAATATCTATAAAAGATCATAGGTTCGAAAACAGAAAGAAACACAAAAAGTACGTAAAAGATAGAAAAATAATAAGGGGCCTTTTTTGTCCTGATTCCCTTCGTTGTTGTTTGTTTGACATTTTTTCCCACTCCCTTTACCCTCTCCATTACCCCAAATCCTTCCAACTTCATTCCCCACCCCCTAGGTTTTTCCATTCCCTTTCCTTAGCCACCACAACACCACCATATCCAAACCAACCACCACCATCCTACCCTATCCCCACCACCCAGCCACCATCGCCGCACCTCCACCGACCCTCGCCGGAGCTCCCCCGCCTATTGCTGGAGCTCCCCAATCCCTCGCCGGAGATCCCCTCCCCCGAAAAACTCCCCCACTCTCGCAAAAACCCTGCTCTCCGTGAACTCCACCACCTAATCCCCCTCTCCGTGAACTCCACCACTGCCTCCAAGACGTCGCCGTTGCTTCCTTGTCCAAGCCGACGCTCGTGAGCTCGCCGCTGCTCTCATGTGCACCACCTACTGGGTGTCGTCATCCCAACCAAAATCCCGACCACCATGACATTTCGAAACCCCGGACACTCTCAAACCCCAAAACAACCACCAAATCCCCGAAACCACCAACAATCCCAAAACCCCTCTTCTCCGTGAGCTCGCCGCTAGGTTGGGTGGCCGGATTTCAAAAGTTGGGTGGTTGGGTTGCTGGGGTAAGGGGGAAGGTTGGATTACTAAAATAATTTTGTGTAGTGGTGGTGGTGAATCTGATTCCCTTTAATTTTTTAAAACAAACAACACACTAAATTTGAGGGATTTTCATTCCATTCTATTTCATTTTCTTTGTTCATTCAATTCCGTTTAATCCATGCAAACCAAACGACCCCTAACTATAAAAAGGCCGGTTACTTTCTAGAATGACATTGAAAAATAGAGAAGTGAACGAGTAGAGAAATATTTTTATTTTTTCCCCTTTAGATCTATTTCACGGACTCACGGTACTCCTTCCTCTCTCTCTCTCCTCCCAGGACACAGTACTCCTTCCTCCCATTGAAGCGTACTCGAAATTCTCCATTGAAGGGGCTTCTGAGCTTTCTCTCCTCCATTGAAGCAGTCTCTAAGGTTAGATGCTTCTTTTTCTTTAATCATCTAATATCAATTTTGACAATCTAGTGTTACTCGTGTATTTAATTGTCAGTATATACTCAATTTAGGGTTCTTCGAAGTTGGATAATTGAACTATTGGTTATAGATACTCGAAGAATTTAACGTAATTTTTGGAGTCTGGTTTGATAATTGAGTCAATTTTGGTTGCTAATGTGTAATGTGTTGCAGGAGGGTGGTTTCGGTGGTGGTGCAGGGGGAGGGGGTGGCTGTCGGGGCTGGGCTGCGGTCTGGGGAGTGGCTGTCGGGCTGGGTGGGGAATTGTTTAATTAATTTGCATGTTCAGTGAGGAAAATTGAAGCCGTTTTTAGTTTAATTTAAAGGAAAGGTAACTAATTAACAATTAAGCAATTGCAACATGTTTATTGAACTTGAAGTTGCTGTTATTTTCGGCTTTGTTGAATTTGGATTTCTTTTCAAATTGATGTTCATTAATTCTGTTTTTGATTGTATGATATTTCTGTGATAGTTGGATTAATAGAAATGTTATGTATTTCCTTCGGCCCAAAATTAAAGGAATTGTGTTGAAATAACAAGCTTTTACATCTTTATCATGGTGCAAAGTAGTTTTCTTGTTGGTTATCATTGTGGGAAATTTGGACAAGTTAAACATTTAGATTGATTTATCTAATTCAACCTTTAACTTCAATTTCCGAATGAAAAGAAAAACAACTCGAGAAATTTCAAGTTTTTTTACTAAAAAAGTGCCTACTCTAAGTCCTCCTCCTCCACAAAATGATACTCCTCCTCCACAAAATGATCTACCTTCTCAAGAAAGTGAACAAAATGATATTGTAAATCGTTATCAAAACATGAAAATTCGTCAAAAGCAATTGTAATAAAATTAGTACTTTTTTAGTTGTAATATGAATTTGCATTACTTTATGAAATGAACTTTTTTATGTATTTTTTTTTGTTCATTATACAAGCTTTGACTATTTTTTGATATTATATGCGGTCGGTGGACGATGATGGGACAACCTATTAATCAAATCCTGGATTCGCCACTGGCAATGGGTGGTTGATTAATTATCCAAACATTCTCTCTCCACCTTAGTTACATACCCCTATTATACATTAATCACCATTATCAAATTTTGCATTGGAATTCCTCGTCAAGCCCCAAAGTTGCACATAACATTTAACGGAGGTAGTATATTGTGAATTAATTTGCTTAATTACGGTCTTAATAAGCTGAGAAAGAAGTTATAAACATTACTTGTATTGTTTGAGTGTTAAATTTTCTATTGTACGGATGTGTCATTAGTTGTTTGAATTTGACATTTTTTTGCGTATCATGCGAATTTTCTCGAGTTGATTTTCCATCAATTTTTTGTGATTTTATTAGAATTATGCTCATAACTTGTGAGATAATTTTCTTAATTAGTGATATATTTAGATTAATGCTCCTGATATTAGAATTAATTTGCTTATTATGCTGCTAATTTCTGAACATTGTGTGTATTAATTTGATCGTTTTCTAATTCAGTTATGGTTCTGTATGATTGTAGTCTGTGTCTCACGTATTGAGTGGATTTGGAGATATAATTTCCTCCATCAACTCATCATCGGATCATATTATAGGTTAACTTTCTCTCTCATATCGCTGCCGTGCTCCACCACCTCCATCGAAACACAACCACCACATAATAAGTCCATCAAAGCTTGAAGATGGCTAAGAGTTCTTCAAATTCCAAAGTTGTAACTCCGATTACATGTCCTCACTGTGCTGGTCCTCTCTCTAAACAAATGGTAAATTTCCTCAATGTTCAAAATCAAAATTCGATTCTTTCAAACTACTATTGAATTATTTGATTTCTTATTATTTCAATTTTGTTGTTAATGCAGGAAACTAGTCGTTGGACAGTTGCGCCACTTGTTAGAGACAGCTTTTCTATGGTATATATTTCTATTTTGAGTTTCATTTTAAATGAATAGGATCAAAATTCAGCTTGATTTTTGAATTTCATTGAAAATTTTCAAAATTGTGCATAAATTTTTTGAATAATTGCAGATTGGTTCTGCCGTTGGTGGTACTACAAGTGCATTTTATGCATTCAATTTTGGTAAATACCTAATTCTACTATCTGCATTTCACTTAGTGAGGTGAATTCGAAATGTCATGAAATGTCCCTTAACCTTTTTGATTTTAAAAGCAGAATGTTTGTTGCAAGATGTTTAGTTTACGAGTGTTGTTTCGTGCAGTTATGCCGACTGTTCGTAAGTGGGTCAAAGGGCCGATGTGGTTTCATTTCCTTATCGGAGTAAGTTTACCTTACGATTTTTTTTAATAAGAATTAAAGAATGATCACTAGATGCTGCATTATGTTTTATCTGGATGCTTTTCGAGCTTTACCAAGACGATGTCTTTACTTGAATTTAAGAGAATTCAAGTTTAATTACTAGATGCTGCTTAATGTTATGTCGGGATGCTTTTAATTACTAGATGCTGCTTAATGTTATGTCTGGATGCTTTTCAAGTTTATACAAAGACAATGTATTTACTTGAATGTACAAGAATTCAAGAATGATCACAAGAATTCAAGAATGATCACTAGATGCTTACTCCCTCCGCTCACAATTATCAGCAACATATACTATATTTGGGTGCTCTCTATTATGTGCAACAAATGTTTTTCTTTCCATATTTAGTAACTATTTTCTAACAATTTGACTACAATACCGTTACTTATAAATTTATAACCTCAATTACATACTTAAAACAAATTTAATTAAAAACTAATCCAATGTAATTAATCTCTCTCTCCTCCTCCTCCATCATCTACATCTTCCCCAATTACTTTCTCTCTCCTCCTCCTCCATCATCAAATTTCTTCACCTTCTTCATCTTCCTATTATCTTTCTCTCTCCTCCTTCAGCCCATTCTCATGAATTGAAGAAGAAGACCACCTTTTAGTGTTTCGATTCCAGATCTGAGTTCGTGGGTTTCGTGCGTTCTTCAGGTCGTGGGTTTAGTGGTGGGTTTTGGTGGTGGGGTTTCGTGGTGGGTTTTAGTGGTGGGTTTCGGTGGCTTGGGTTCATGGGGTGGTGGTTTCGGTGGTTTGGTTTGTAGGGTGGTGGGTTTTGGTGGTGGTTTCGTGTGGGTTGTGTTAGTGGGGTTGGGTGTTGGTGGTTCGTGGGATGGTGTGGTGGTTCTGCGCCCGTGAGTGGTGGTTCTCCAATGTTTAATTTTGTTTTTTTTTTTTTTTTTTTATAATTTGGATTAATTATCCCTTCTCTCTCCTCTTACTTTTCAATAATCTTGGTTAAGAAATTTTCCCTAGGAGTCCGCAAAAAGTGGGTTTGTTGCACATAATAGTGGGTGGAGGGAGTATTTGTTTGTCATGGAGATTGTGTAATTTTTTGTCCGTCAAATTTGACATGATGATATGCTGGACCAAGTGAAGGCAGACATCTAACACTAGAATTTTGATCTTAGAATTGCTAGCATGAGAGTTAGTGTTTTAGAGATGCTGATAAATTAAGAATGGAGAAAAAATGATTTTGTTATCGCCAAATACTTGATAGTATTTAAGTACTGGCTCCAATAGTGTTATAATAAATTTTTAGCCTCCTTAAGCTTAACCAAATGGAAGGGTTTTAAGCAAAAAACTCTCTCATAAGCTCTTTGCCTCACATCTAATTGCAATTGTAAACATAGTAGAGCAGTACCGCTAATTTGGATGCTTACCAGTGGTCTGAAATCTTCTAGTATTAAGTTTTATGATTCGCTCCATATGGAATAGATAAAATTCAAGTTGGAAGACAAAGTAGTGTTTTTGCTTTATTCTGACTGCTGTTTTCATTTGCTGTTCCATTAATCTTTGCTTGAAAACCCTAATCAGTACAACCTCACACCCTAGATTCCAGCGAGAAATTACATTTTTAGAAGAGGTGCAAATAGTATCTCGCATTGAAGAATAGATGGCACAAAGCTGCAAACAGAACTAACTTTCTTGAGCCTATTCCTAGTCGATTAAATATATATTGTTGGGTAAGGGATTAAGGAACAAAGTTAATTTGCATCTAGAAATGCTTGTTACTTGCGCATTTGGCACCCAAAAAAGATTTGTGATTGGTCTTCTCAACATCTGATATATAGCTTTAGAATGAGAAATTGTCCTGCATATTAAGCTTGGACCTACCATCAACTTTACTCACTGCATCCACATTTTAAGCAACTAATAGGTTTGACCAGGAATCTCTATGTCCCAGATATGCTGCCTCTGTACATAGCAGACATGATTGTGTTTACCTTTATTTTTTTTTAATTTTTTTTTTATCCAGAACTTATTTCTTCTTCGTTTATTTTTTCTAAAGTCTGTACTGTGTCTTTACCATGCAGATTTGGCATTGTGTAGTTTAGAGTCTTCTTGCATTGTTATTTAGATTTCTGTCATTTGATCCTATACTACATGGATAAGAACAGAGTGGGATATAGTGTAATAACTTCCCCATGCATAAACCTTTCTTAGCTAGCCAATGCTGAGTAGACACTCCATGGATAAGAACAGAGTGGGATATAGTGTAATAACTAATAAGGACCCAATTCACTACCTTTTTGCTTCTTGGCCCACTCTATATGCTGTTTTTTTTTATTCTATTTATCATGTTTGACAATATCTTTCTATTTTCTAGGTATCTTGCAGGGGCCAATATTTAGGCTAGAAAATTTAGAATATAAGTTACATGAACAATAAACATATTCATTAGGAGATAGCTCCTAATTAGAGTGACTATTGGTTTTTACTTTTCGTGGCCCGGAGAAGCCAAATATGCCAATTTCTGCTGGGAATCCTTGCATGTATATGGACTTAAAAATGTCTTTTTTGGTATAGACTTAGAGCTTTTGGTATATAAGCTTTAGCCTCTGAATTGTAATGCCCCTACCTCGTTTTGTACCAAAGAGTTGCCAATTTTGATTCAAAGGGAAATTTGTGCGATAAATGTATAATGTATGCTCTCTATTGGTAACTTGTGTGTACAATCAAAAACATTATTTTGACTAGAATGTGTCAAATGATTTAATATATGTGTATACTTGACCATCATTTGATTTTTTTTGACTTGAATTCAAGCCAATGGTTTCTCAAGACTCCCATGCACCCTTTTGCTAATCAATTTTATCTTTAAATTCTTTTTTTTTTTAAAATTTTTTTGTTAATGGCCTCCATCAATTCCATTTTTTCATCTTTTGATTCTTCAGGAGATCAATACTCCACTCTAGAAATTGGTTGCACAATGAGGGCATCGTATGAAAAGTATATGATGATTGGTCCCAGTGTATCTCTTCCCCCCTCTCCCCCCCCCCCTTTAAACCCAAACTTCCAAGATGTTATTGGTTATGTTGAACATTATTTAACTGTTATTCCTTTAGTTCCAACCTTTACTAGTCGATCAACTAGTTCTTTTTTAAGCTGAGAAAACATTATCCATTAGAAGTTGGTCTAGGTTATGCTTGTGATTGCATTATTCTGAATTTTGTTAAATGTTGACAATATAACTTGTCCAGCCCAATTACCCATTGATAGTGTTATTGTTTCTGGTGTTTTTGGGTTGCTTGCTTTGTAACTATAATATTGGTTGTTTTCTGTTTATGTATTTATCCTCACGTTGTTTGTATTAATACTTTGACTTTATCAGGCACCACCAGTGATAGTTTTTTCTTCGGCCTGTGCTGGGCTGGCAGGTATGCTCTTCCCTCTTTCTAGGAAGCTTTCCACTTTTAGCTATCTATCCATTTCAAAATTGAGGCAGATAATACCGCCTACATAGTATATAGGAAATCTTGCTTGAAGTCTTTCTTAGATTATTATCAATTAGTAATACATTTCAGGTGTGTGTGGTGATGGGGGGCAGGGTTACCTATTTTAAGCTACTGCACTCATCCTTGCCAAATTTTTGTTTTCGTCAACTTTTTGCATGATCATTTTTTTACTTTCCAGGTGGTGCAGTTCCAGCCTTGGCTCAGCTTGCGTCTTCATCATATCATGCTGCGATGTTATCTTCAATACATTCTTCTCAGGATGACAAGACTAACAAATCTAGGGGTTCCTCAACTTTGTAATATACAGCTGATTGTGGGAGAGGGATGAAATTACTGCCTGTGCCAGTCACCTGTTCAGTGAATTCTGGATGTTGCATCTTGCTTCGGGCTTATTTCTGAGGTGATGCTCATTTTATATTGAGTGTATCCTCTCTTTGTGTTTTGGGCTTCTTTCAGTGTCCTCTATCGGTTTCCTTGCAGTAATCTTGAGCCACCTTTGTTACATCATGTATATCCATACTGGGGATTTCTGTTTTTGTAATTTGCTTGTCAAAACCTACCAGGGGAATCCTGATAGCTATATAAAAGGATCCCAAACCTAATATCTGTGAGGGTTCGATACCGCAGAGGGTATTAAAAAATGCCCTTTTTTTGACCTCTTTTGTTTTAGGGGTGATACCAAATAAAATCTTGTATATACATGTTTTAGATTTTAATTTTCATAGGTATTTTACATTTTTACTCAGTGAATTTAGCAATTAGCTCAATCTCTGCACTTTCTTTTATTCTTCATAGTAACAGAAAGCTTGACTTCACAATAATTTACAATGATGTTATTTAAGGATTTATTATGGATCAATTAAACTTGTATATGATTTGTTAATGAATGCAAAGTGATGTCAGATAATATAATACTAATCAAAAAGCAGGTAATCCAAGCTTTTGTTTGGCATATACTCGTATATTAACTTCTCTTTTTTTTTTTCCACACAGCAACCAAGAAGTCTGACAAGATTTCGATGCTGAAGTTTAAAGATTACCAACACTTAATTCATAAACTCTTCTACTCCTTGTCCTGAGGCTTTTGAAAGTTTCTTGACAGCAATTTCTTGTCCATCTTCTAATTTCCCCTACAAAACCAAATCTCAGAGTGATTTCTATACACTTTTACACTCGTACTTTTCTCGGCTAAGAGGACAGCCATTTGAAAATTAATTACCTTGTAAACTGTACCAAATCCACCTTTTCCTAGCTTGTTAGTGTCCTGGAAGTTGTTTGTAGCCATTGCCACCCTTTTAAAATCAAATAGCGGAACCTCTTCGATCTGATCATGGTTATTGTCTATTCTGAGAACATCTGACACTCTTTGTCTTTTCTGAAGTTTCTTTCCTTGAGATGTTAGATTTTCAGTAAGTAGAAAAAATTTGGTTATGCTCTTCTTCTGACTACAGAGTACTATGAAAATATTGCCTTGTTTTAGGGTCTGGCGCCTCCTCAGAATTAAAATAAAGGAAACAACTGTAATTGTTGCTAAGCTCCCTGTTGCTGCAATAGCTGTTACCGTTTTCCTGTTGTTCCCTGCAAACCATAATGCAGCCGAGCTTTAGTATGGTTCCTGCTAAGTAGAGAATTCACTGACAATTTGTCAAGCAAAAGCCCAGTACCTAGCTCAGAATGTGCCAGCCTTAGGTAAAGATCCACCCCACCTGCTGACAACTCTTCAGTGTCAATCAAATCTCTGTTACATGACATACACCCAGCACCTGAAATCATAAACATAAAGCTAGATATGAACAATTCTTCAAGCACTGGTTTCTGCATTCATCTTCATCCAATCCAATTAACCAGTCAGAGTTGTCTGGCACCTTAACTGCCTTAACCCGGAACCCGGAAAAAACCATCCTCTTTTCCACTTCCTCTCACACATTGCAATGGTTTTCTTCTTGTGCACCCACTTGACCACTTACCTTTATTCCATTTAAACTTATTCTTTGGTTTGAATCCTTTCAAACACCGACAAATTGGTGAATTTAGCAAATTACAACTTCCGAATGCTCCACACTTGCCATAAAAATCACACACTGTTTGTGGAGCTTCCCACGCAACCTTCCATTTTTTCTCATTTTCATCCCACCATTGTTGAGTCAAAGTCCCTTGGTAGCTCAACCCATAGTTAGACAGCACTGACTGATTAGTATAAGAATAATTCAAAGAAATGGTACCTTGCCAGTCATTCTCAAGATTGAATCCAGCATCATTGAAATCATCAGTCTTGTTATTTGTTGTACCAGTAAAGATGTGTCCATTCCATGGACCACTTCTCCAATAGGGTTGATCACCATCGAATATGACAAGTTGAGGGAAGGCAAAGGAATCAATGCCAACAGAGAATCTCCCAAAAGAGGGGTCTGAAGGGCCATTCCACGCCTGTAACATCTTCCTTCTGTTAGAACTCTTGGTGACAGTAATTTTCATATTTGGCAAAGCTGTATCAGTTGGGTGGTTAAAACTCTGCCATAAGTTCTTGCCTTCAAGTCCCACCAGAACTAGGTTGCCGGAGTCTAAGAGATGTGCTTCTGAGACTACTTCTATTAGTTTGGCGTGAAATGGTAACATTGGAGGACCAAAGTGTCTGGTTTTGAGCACTCAGGACTTGAAGATTACCATCCTCGGAAATTCTGATTGTTCCACCGGAAGAATCATTTAGAGGATTGTTCCGATTGGCCACCCACACAACGTTATACATAGGGAGTTTGTTGTACCAGATCCCTACATAACGGTGTGTCGAGTTAGGGGTGCTATTACTGGAAACAATAGTTTCTGGATAATTAAGAAACTTGGTCGTGGTGATTTTATCAAGGGCTGTACTTTGTTGCAGTAGAAGGAAAGAAAACAACAGAATTGAATAGATACAGTACATGGGATTAGATTTCATTTGATTTTGGTGAGTAAAACCAGTTATACATACTTTGTATTTAGGTAGCCATTTTGTTGAACTTAAGAATAGTACTACCTCCGTTACATATTAGTTGAATTGAATAGTTCCAACTAATATGTAACGGAGGTAGTAGTAATTTTTTTGTGACTTCAACTTTAGTAGATTTTTTGCCTAAATTCCATGGAAACTTTGGATGAAAAGATTACACATGGGCCCAGAACAGAGCATGTGGGCTGAAATTTTTTGCAAAGGAAAAAATTTGGTTGTATGGTTTGATGTTTACCTGAAGTGACAAGGTCAGCTGATTTTTGGGTATAATTCAAAAATTAAGTTGAAATTTCCTGGAACTTTTATTTTGAGGTTAATAGCTTCTACACAATACCAGTAAAAAATCTGATAACTATTGCCTTGAGGTGACTAATTCTTTAGCGCAATGCTTGGGTCTTAATTTTGATATTTGGTATTTCGTCTATGTAATACAGTAGAAAAGAGAAATGATGAAACTTTGAAAGTGTCGACAATAGGAAACGAAAACAGTAGAAAAGGACAAGTATCAAGTGGCATTCAATATGTTGATATGTTCTACTGTAAAATATAGATGTAGATTGTATAAAGGATTATTATGTCAAATTTTATGCTGGATTTTACTACGTATTTAAGCTAAGCATTATGTCGAATTTGATTTTTTGGAAGGTTAAGTTAGTTATAGTGTCTTAGAGTACAGCCATTAAGGATTATGTAGATTGGAAACTGTGTTGTTTAATGATTATATTGCTCTTTAGAGTATCATGTTTGCACATAGTGGTCTAAATGAAGATAGTGTAACTAGATTGGTTGACAGTTTAGGAAGTCGTAAGTTTAAGTCAAACCAACATTCATCAACGCCACATCTTCAAACTATAGATAGAATTAATGAATGTGAGACGCTTACATGTGTTATTTACTTGGATATACTTCAACAGAGATATTATTCATTCAAAGCCAAGTCTGAGTTATGTGACTTACAAACCTGATCTATCACAAAAACTTGAGATCAATTACATACTGTTATTCTTATTATTTTTTAATTAGATTTTCTTATTTTCTTCAAAACTATAGTACATGTTCTTTTATTGAGCTAAGATGTGAAACTCAGCGACCGTAAGCTTAACAGTTCACTTTCTAACAATGCCTCATTGTCTTGCACAATTCTCACTTACCGTCCTCTTATCTCTGTAATAGATATATGATTTATGGAAGATTTCTGTTGAGAGTAGGAGATGTTCCGATTGATATGGACGTATCCTGGTCTCTTTGGATATGGAAGATCTAAAATCTCCCCGTCTAGCATAGAGATGGCAGTAGGTACATCTGGTCTGTCCTTTGCAAATTCTTGCACGCACAACAGTCCAATTTGTACACACCTAATAATAACCTGTTCATGTGGAGGTTCCGAAATTGTTGGATCAATCAATGATATGATGTTCTTTTCTTCCCATAACTTCCATGCCTGAGATGTAACAACAGAATCAAACTTTATGTAGGAGATCGATTATACGAAGCAGCACACTTGTAGTTGTATGAGAACTTACAGTTTCTATAAGGCTGAGGGAATCCTCATCATCCGAGCAGCCACTGTTTCTTTTTCCACTTAAAATCTCCATCAGTAAAACTCCAAAGCTAAATACATCAGATTTTTCTGAGAATAGCCCTTCCATTGCGTATTCAGGAGACATGTAGCCGCTGTAGTTTCAGAACTTACATTTCAGTAATGAAAGCACGGATTATTAAGTTCATTCTACTTTTTAGATGACTTAAATTTAAACTTTGGAAAACTTACTATGTTCCAACAACCCTTCGAGTGTCAGCTTCATCTTGGTCACCCCCAAAAATTCTTGCCATTCCAAAGTCTGAAATTTTTGGATTGAGTCCTTCGTCCAACAAAATATTACTCGCCTTCAGATCTCTATGGATGATCCTTAATCTAGAATCTTTGTGGAGGTACTGGAGGCCTCTGCATATCCCTTCAATAATGTTGAATCTAGTGTCCCAGTCTAAATCCTTTTGCTTTCCTGCAATTGGTGATTGATCATGGTTATGCGAAACAATGCTGTATGGAAATCAGAACTAAATGGCGATGAGTGGGTTAACAGAACTAACCAAATAGAAGCGCATCCAAGCTTTTGTTTGGCATATATTCATAAACCAACATTTTCTCTTTTCCCTCAACAGAACAGCCCAGAAGTCTGACCAGGTTACGATGCTGCAGTTTAGAAATAAGCTTCACCTCATTCATGAACTCTTCTAGGCCTTGTGTAGAGAAACCTGAAAGACGTTTCACAGCGATTTCTTGTCCATCTTTTAGCTTTCCCTGGTAAGTAAATTTGTTCACATTTTGAGTTTTGCATTACTCTCTAAGTATCTAAATAATTAACTAAGTTATTTAGAATATATGACCTTGTAGACTGAACCAAAACCACCTTGTCCTAGCTTGTTGCTTTCATTGAAATTGTTTGTTGCTGCTGCAAGCGTTTCAAATTTGAACAAGGGAATCTCTTCAAAGTCCAAATTGTTCTTCTTGTAACTGTCTACCCTCATTTTCTTCTTGGCATCTGTATTCCATAATAGACACTAATTCTTCAATAGTTTACCAAGACTTCAGGGACTAAGATAAGTTCGCTAGAAATTCGTTTTCAATTCTTTAACCTTGTTATATGGGTTGTAAGAACTATATATACATTAGCAACTAAGGTCATGCATCCTCTTTGAACATCATGAAAAAAATGAGGATTTATTTATGATTAAGGTTAGCTCTATTTTACGCTAATAGAGCTAATCATACCCCATCAAACAAAAATGCAAAATTTACTCTCAACAATCACTCATCTTAACAAAAAAAATGGAGTAAATTAAATTGGTTGTGGACTACTAAGGAGAAAAACATTTAGTTTGAAATATAAATAACTTGTTTTGGACTAAATCTAGCTTACGTAGAAGATAATCAGAGGATGCAAAAAGAATTATTGCTCTGCAAATCATAAATTCCACCGAATGAGCTCGAATTCACCCCCAAAAATAATCTTTACTCAACTTAAAATTATTTGCTCTTTGAATTCTCCCCACCAATGTAGTAGCTTTACCAATTTTGTTAATGTCAGTAATAATTGGGTTTACTTACAGATTAAATTTTCAAACTGAATCAGTTTTTGCATGATTGTGTATAACTATGATTTTTAAAAATCTACTCCGTACTGCCTTGTTGATTTCTTATTTCTAAACAGCAGGGTATGTGTTATGGTAAGGCATCATACCTTGTTGATGTGCCTTTTGCCTCCACAGAAAGTAGAATAGGACAGCACTTACTGCCATTCCTATAAAGCTTCCTATCACTGCTGCAATTACTTTCTTCTTGTTATTAGTACCTGCAGTTCAAATTTGAATTTGACTGTCACAATCATATACTCTAGTTCAGTAGCTAATGAGAGTTTATGTAATAGAAGCACTGAATTTACCAAGCTCTGAATTTGCTAGACGGAGGTAAAGATCCACTCCGCCTACTGAAAATTCTTGTATGTCAATCAAACTTGTACTCCATGTCATGCAACCAACTCCTGCATCATATGCATAAGCTAGACAAGAACAGTTCTTGAAGCATTGTTTTTTGCACGCATCTTGATTCAACCCTAACCTCCACTCAGCATTTTCCGGTACTTTCATCATCTTCATCCTTAAGAATCCATCATCTTTTCCTTTTCCCATCTCACACTGCAACCTTCTTGTCCTCAAGCATCCATCACTCCAATTCCCTTTGCTCCATTCTGTTTTATTTCTCGGCTGAAAACCCTTCAAACACTGGCACATTGTTGGTCTTCGTGGGTTGCAGGTTCCAAATTCTCCACATTTCCCGAAAACATCACACTCTGTGGTAGGAACTTGCCACTCAATCTCCCATTTCCTTTTTATTTCATTCCACCATATTTGTGACAAATTTCCATCTATGCTTAACATATAGGTTGATAGTAGAGACTCATTTGGATAAAAATATATTGCAGTGACTGTCCCCTCTTTATCACTAGAAATCACAAGCTGAGCATTAATGAAGTCTTCAAAATCAAAATGTACCCCAATAAGGATATTCCCGTTCCATGGACCACTTCGCCAGCGTGTGCGATTCCCATTCCAGACTACAAGTTGGGGAAGGGTAAAAGTATCAATTCCTGCAGTGAATCGCCCATCAGATGGGTCTGATGGGCTTTTCCAGGACTGTAAAGGTTTTTTCCCGGTCACATTTTTGGTGACAGTAAGTTTCATGTTTGGTAAGAAAGAGTCTGTAGGATGATCAAAACTCTGCCATACAATCTCCTCGCTGCTTTGCAGAACAAGGTTACCTGAATCCAGAAGCTGGGCAGCTAAGAAGTCAGCTGAAAAACTCGAGACATTTGAGGACCAAAGGATTTTATTTCTACTATTCTGCACTTGGAGATTGCCATCCTTTGATATCTTCAGAACCCCAGTAGAATCATTCAGTGGGTTATTCCTGTTTGCTACCCATATAACATCTCTTACAGAGGGCTTACTGTACCATATGCCCACGTATCGTTTGGCGGAATTAGGGGGGCTGAAGAATCCTAGAGTGAAAAATGTTGTTTTCGGAAACTATAGTGTCAGGGTCCTTCAGGAATTTTGTGCCATTGATGGTGTTTGTCGCCGAGACAGATCTTTGAATACAGCAAAAAAGAACAAATAGTGTATGGAGAGCAGTCATTGCTTGGGTTTGAGAGACTATAGTTTTAGGCTTTCAGGGTGTTGGGTATGGCCCAAATTTTATAAGCCCATTATATTGATAGAGTATAATCTAGAAGATTTCTGAAAAATCAAGAGAAGATTGCACTTGATTTTTTTAGAGTTATCCACAACTTTAATATCTCCTAGAATATTCTAGAGAATATTAAAAGTAGAAGCCTCTAGATTAAGAGCCATAATTATGGAGAAATTCCCATAAAAATCTAGAAGCCTTCATCCTCACCTATAAATATGGGTCAAGGGCATAACAACAACAACACAACACAAAAACACAAGAAGCCATACCAAATACAAGCCTTTCTACAAAATATTCTCCCTCCTTGTAATATTCCACTACTATCATAATACTCCTTTGAGTTTCTTATAGGGAGAGTTCTCTTGTAATAATCACCCTCTCAAGGGTTCTTGTACTCTCATACTTTCAAATAGTGGAATAAAAGTGCTCGTTGTTGTATAAAATCGTGTGTTTATTTATATTAATTATCTTGCCAATTATCAATTTAGTTTATATTTCTCAATCAAACACATCTTCGCTTCCGCTGTGCACTCACCAACCCTAACAAGTGGTATCCGAGCCAAAGGTTGATTAGAGTGTTTACACATTAAAGATGTCTTCGATCACGAAGTTCGAGATTGAGAAATTTGACGGCAAGATTAATTTCAGCATCTGGAAAGTCCAGATGAAAGCCGTTCTAGTACAGAGCGGATTAAAGAAGGCTTTGGATGGAAAAGCTAAAAAACCAGAGTCAATGACAGACGAGCAATGGCAAGAGTTGGACGAAAAAGCCCTCTCGGCAATCCAACTATGTTTAACCAAGGAGGTACTGTGCGAGGTTGTCCATGAAGACACAACAGCTGACCTATGGCTGAAGTTAGAGTCACTATATATGACTAAAAGCCTCGCTAACAAGCTTCGACTTAAAGAAAGGCTTTATACAATTCGAATGGCCGAAGGTACTTCTATTCGAACTCATCTCGATGAATTTAATTCAATTATAATTGATCTGGAAAATTTAGATGTTAAAATCGAAGATGAGGATAAGGCCGTGTTATTAATTGTCTCCCTACCACCTTCGTATAAACACTTCAAGGAAATTATGCTTTATAGCAATAGTGATACTCTTTCTTTTGAGGATGTTAAATCTCACTTACTCTCAAAAGAAAAGTTTGACCTTGAAGTTCATTCTAATGAAAATGCCGAAGGTTTAAGTATACAAGGGAGATCACACGGTAGTAAAAGTACCAATAAGAAGTCCAAATTTAATGGACACAAATCCGGAAAATCTTGCAAGTTTTGCAAGAAACTTGGGCACACAGTTGAAGAATTCTGGTTTGCAAATAAAAAGCTCGAAAAGAAAGAGCAAGAGGAAAAGCCGAAAGAGACGGCAGAAGCCGGTTTTGGAGAAATAGAGTCCGATGATGAAGTTCTCTTAGCTACTTCACCAAGAAGAAATAAAAATTCTGATTGGGTACTTGATTCGGGTTCTGCCAACCATATTTGTTCTCAAAAGTCTCACTTTACCGACTATCAGCCGGTAAAGAATAAAACTGTTGCAATGGGTAACGGTAATCATTGCAAAGTTCGTGGTGTTGGCTCCGTACGGATCAAGACGCAAGACGGTGTGATCAGGACTTTGTCTAATGTTCATCATGTTCCTGATCTGAAAAAGAATATCATTTATGTTGGCATTCTGGACTCAAAAAGATATAAGATTTCGGCTCAAGGTGGAGCACTCAAAGTCTCCAAAGGTGCTCAAGAAATATTGAAGGCCATCAGACATAGAAATATCTATGTATTACAAGGATCTTCTATTATGGCTTCGTCATACTCAATCTGGACTCGGCAACAACGCTCACATAATACGGGTCCAAGTAACATACGACGAGCGCACAGATAAAATTTGGTCCAAGGTGGAGATTGTTGGGTATGGCCCAAATTTTATAAGCCCATTATATTGATGGAGTATAATCTAGAAGCTTCCTGAAAAATCAAGAGAAGATTACACTTGATTTTTTTAGAGGTTATCTACAACTTTAATATCTCCTAGAATATTCTAGAGAATATTAAAAGTAGAAGCCTCTAGATTAAGAGCCATAATTATGGAGAAATTCCCATAAAATCTAGAAGCCTCCATCCTCACCTATAAATATGGGTCAAGGGCATAACAACAACAACAACACAAAAACACAAGAAGCCATACCAAATACAAGCCTTTCTACAAAATATTCTCCCTCCTTGTAATATTCCACTACTATTAGGGAGAGTTCTCTTGTAATAATCACCCTCTCAAGGGTTCTTGTACTCTCATACTTTCAAATAGTGGAATAAAAGTGCTCGTTGTTGTATAAAATCGTGTGTTTATTTATATTAATTATCTTGCCAATTATCAATTTAGTTTATATTTCTCAATCAAACACATCTTCGCTTCCGCTGTGCACTCACCAACCCTAACACATGGTCCTTTTTGTGAATTTCTGAATCTATAGTACATTTGTTTTTCCAAGTTAAGGAAAGGTGGACACAGTAACCCAAATTTATGATGTATAGATAAGTTGTGTGGATTATAGGATGCCTCATTCGTAATGCATTACACAGAATAGTCGTTGTCTGCAAATTTACTGGAAGAGGTAATGATCGTAGTGGAAGACTTAGTCCATCTAGTGATGTTCATCAATGATCATGATTTTGACTACACAACTGAAATGAATAAAAAAAAATCTCATTGTTTTATTACCTTTATAATTTCCAGAAAGAAGATATGTGCTAGCTGAATAGTTTCTGTTAAATTTGTGGCTGATTATCACCATAACTTTCTAACCTTAATAAGTGGTAAAGATGACGACAGTACAAACTTACCTTTCGTTGCTGAGAGTATAATATCATGTTGCACTACCACTACTCAGTGACTACTTTTCTGTTGATTTGATTATTAATAGGAGGTCAAGATCCTCATAATGTTCGCCTTATCTGGATGAGATGAACACCTTGGCTAACAGGGGAATGAAGTAAAAGTGTATATTTGATCTATTCAATATTACTAAGTTTTGATTTAGTTTATTATAGAATTAGGTATCTATTGACGGTCTTATTGTTGGTGTTATTCGTTCGTGTGAGACCGGAGCTTTTCATGTGTAGTATCTTAATCCACCTCTTGACTAGAGACTTTTTTGAATTTAGTTGGAACTAGGGTTGGTGTCAGATAGGGTAGTTTATTTGCTCATTTTATCAATTTTGCTTTAAAAAGAATAATGCACTAGTTTAATTAATAATTTCATTTTGTAACGATCTTTCCAAAATTGTACGTTGATGGCCATCACCCTAAAATGACCAAGTCCTCAATATTGGATGAGTAGTCATTTATTCGATATGCCTCTATCATTCCTGGACAAGGGGGGATCCTCGTAGGATGCACTAGATCTGTGATGTTCATGGGTGAATCCCACTGTATGTAGTACAGTAACCATCATCAAAGGAAGGACTTCACCCACCATGAAAGCTGTAAAAAATCTGAGGATGATTTGAAACTAAGTAGGTTACAACTTTTATCGTGGGACATCTATATGTGGTTTTAAATTAAAGAGGAAAATCATTACATGAACACTGTTTGAAGTACATTTTGGCAAAAAGGAAGCAAAAATGTATCCCTAAAGCACGATAACTCATCCAAAAACATTAATGGGAATATACTACCCAAAAATTGCTAATATTTGACTAAGCAGCATACTATTTCAATCCCTACCAGCTACAACAAGTCGAGTCAATTATTTTGGGTCGACCTAAACTAGAAATGTGGCTTATAATTTTGCAAGGCTGATAGTGGCGATTCTAGGATAAAAATTGATGTGAAATTTTGGTGCTGGAAGGTTACAATGTGCAGCTGAGAGTTGACTATCTAGGGAGCAGAATTTAGTGTGTGTATCAATGATGTACTGGTTATTTTAGAGGCTAATTAACGTTTTGAGAAGTGAGACGACAGCATTATTGCTACTAGTGTACTAGCTAGGTAAAAGTGGCAAGACCATGTTCATATTGGATGTCGTTGTCCAGCTTCAAGACAAAAATTTAACATAGGTCCTGTTTTATTTTTATTGAACTGATATGAGTAGTGCTGATATAACACATGTCACTTAATAGAAGTGAAAAAAAAAAAAAAAAAAAACAGAATTTTGCTTTCTTTATTAATATTGTACTTGTAATTAATATGGATGTTTATGCATTTTTGTTGATAGTTTGGGTTAAATCATTGCAATTTACATAATCATGTTAGTATAATACATAATCATGTTAGTATAATTTTCTATTCGAAAAAACTGTGGCCTTTTTGAATTGTGCTGTATCAAAATTGGGGTTTATATAGTCTGAGTACAAGGTAAAGTTTCAGTTAGATAAATTATAGAATTAAACAGTATATGGATGTTAAATTTTAAGGCATGTTCATTCACCACTTAATATATTCCCTTCTCTAACTTTAAGAACTCAAGGCATCACTTGAGCTAATAATAAGCTTTAGATTTAAAAACAGTAGTAATAGTTTACCCCACATTGGCCTAAGAAACCATGTTAGCTAGTTACAATCCCTGTGTTATCGGGCGCTTAAAAGTGCAACAGAGGTATGATTCGTAGATGAACTCTGTTGGCTCTGTCCGAAAGACGAACCGACATCCTTAGTTTTCTGACTGTGATTGAAACCAGGTGGTTTTGGATGTGGAATATTTGCTAACTCACTTCGAAGCATTGAGATAACAGTAGAAATGTTAGGCCTATCTTGAGCAGATTCCTCCACACATAATAGGCCGACCTGTATGCACTTCTGAATCTCTTCGAACTGTCCGGAGAAGTATGTATCAACAATGGCTGGATCAATGAATGATATAACATTGTTCTCCTCCCACAATTTATATGCCTGAGAGAAAAACTGGTGATTTAGTCATGAGGATAGTCAATATATTTCCTAATTGAATAAATCCAATGTTATAAAAGACTTACGTATCCTAGTAGGCTTAGGGAATCCTCCTCGTACCAGAAAATACTATTCCTTTTCCCACTTACAATCTCCAATAACAAGACTCCAAAGCTGAATACGTCTGACTTTTCAGAGAATCGTCCTTCCATTGCATACTCAGGAGACATATATCCACTGCATCATCAATTGAAACATGACATTGTGAGTTCAAAGATAAATGAAAACTAGAATGAACATGCATGTTTTCTGCTAATCTTTTGGTACGTACTATGTACCAACGATCCTTCTAGTGTCATCTTGATCTTGTTTCTCCCCAAAAATCCTGGCCATGCCAAAGTCTGAAATTCTCGGATTCAGGTTTTTATCTAACAAAATGTTGCTTGCTTTAAGGTCTCTATGAATAATCTTTATTCTAGAATCTCTGTGAAGGTAAAGGAGTCCCTGACATATTCCATGAGTGATGTCGTAGCGTTTCTTCCAGGGTAGTAGCTCCTTCTTCACCGGATCTGTGATTAATAGAGAAGTCATAACAAGTGGATTAAATTTGTATTTTTGCCTACTAACAATGAATGCAAGATTATGCCAGATAATGTGATACAAACCAAAGAGAAGTGAGTCCAAGCTTTTGTTTGGCATGTATTCATATATCAACATCTTCTCATCTCCTCCCACACAGCAGCCCAGTAGTCTGACAAGATTTCGGTGCTGAAGTTTAGATATCACCAGCACCTCATTCATGAACTCTTCTACTCCTTGTCCCGAGGCTTTTGAAAGTTTTTTGATTGCAATTTCTTGTCCATCTTCTAATTTTCCCTACAAAACCAAATTGTAGTGTGAGTTTTACACCTTTATGTTTGTGACTTTTTTCAGTTAATAGGACAGTCATTTGAAAATTAATTACCTTGTAAACTGGACCGAATCCACCTTTTCCAAGCTTGTTAGTGTCCTGGAAGTTGTTTGTTGCCGTTACCACCTCTTCGAATTCAAACAGTGGAACCTCTTCAACTTGATCTTGGTTTCCGTCTATTCCAAGAATATCTGAAACTGTTTTTCTCCTCTGAAGTTTCTTTCCTTTAGTTGTTAAGTTCAAAACAAAACAGCAGAACCTTTAGGTTATGCCCTTCTGATGCTTTGATGAATTGAAGCTATTTTGACTACAACTATGAATGCATTACCTTGTCTTTTATGGGTTTGTCTTCTCCACAGAATGAATATAAGAGTAACAACTGTAGCTGCTCCTAGTAAGCTCCCTGTTGCTGCAATAATTGCTACTTTTCCACTGCTGTTCCCTGCAAACCATAATGAATGAGCTCCATAATATTTCCTGCTGAGGTAAAGAAGTGAGAAATCAAAACAGTCCAGGCTAAATTAACCCCTACTGAATTACCCAAATTTCTTAACCTACCCAAGTTTAAATTACATGACTGAAAAAGTGCCAACCTAAAAATGGATATGACTGCATTGATTGATACACTAATTGACTATAAACCCAAAATGACCTAACCCAAAAAACACCAAATGACTTACCATCCAAATATGAGCTGAATCAAACGGTCTATAAGACTGTTTTGATACCTCTAAGCACACATCAAGATATGTCAGGCAAGAAAAGATACAGTACCTAGTTCAGAATGTGCCAGTTTTAGGTGAAGATCCACCCCACCTGTAGCCAACTTTTCCGTGTCAATCAAGTCTTTATCCCATGACATACATCCAATACTTGAATCATATACATAAGCTATACATGAACAATTCTTCAAGCACTGGTTTCTGCATTCATTTTCATCCAATCCAATTAACCATGCAGGATTGTCTGGCAACTTTACTGCCTTCACCCTGAAAAACCCGTCTTCTTTTCCACTTCCTCTCTCACATTGCAATAATGTTTTTCTCATGCACCCGTGTTCCCAATATCCTTTACTCCATTCTAACTTATTTTTTGGTTGGAATCCTTTCAAGCACCGGCAAATTGGAGAATTCATCAAATTACAACTTCCAAATGCTCCACACTTGCCATAGATGTCACACTTTGTGTGTGGTGCTTCCCAGGCCACCTTCCATTTTCTTTCGCTCTCATCCCACCATCGCTGAGTCAAAGTTCCTTGATAGCTCAACCCATAGTTTGATAACACTGACTGATTAGTGTAAGAATATGTTATAGAAATGGTACCCTGCCTGTCATTCTCAAGAATGAAACCAGCATCATTGAAATCATCAGTCTCGTTATTTTGTATTGCAGTAAAGATGTGGCCGTTCCATGGACCACTCCTCCAATAAGGCTGATCATTATTGTAAATGACAAGCTGAGGGAAGGCAAAAGAATCGATGCCAACCGAGAACCTTCCAAAAGATGGGTCTGAAGGGCCATTCCAGGCCTGTAACATTTTCCTCATGTCAGAATTCTTGTTGACAGTAAGTTTCATATTTGGCAAAGCTGTATCAGTTGGGTGCTTAAAGCTCTGCCACAAGATCATGCCCTCTAGACCCGTCAAAACTAGGTTGCCGGAGTCTAAGAGCTGCGCTTCTGATGCTATACTTATGTTAGTTTGGCTGGAGACCGAAACATTAATATTTGAGGACCAAAGTGTCTGGTTTTGAGCATTCAGGACTCGAAGATTGCCATCCTCAGATATTCTGATTGCTCCACCAGAAGAATCAGTCAGAGGGTTGTTCCTGTTAGCCACCCACACAACGTTATTCGTGGTGAGTTTACTGTACCAGATTCCTACATAATGGTGTGTCGAGTTAGGGGGGCTAAAGAACCCCAGTTTAAATGCACCATTACTGGAGACTATAGTTTCAGGGTCTGTAAGGAACTTGCTAGCTGTAATTTTGTCTAAAGCTGAAGTTTGTTGCAATAGAAAGAAAAAAAAGAAAATAATTAAATAGAGATAACACATGGTATATAATTATATTGCTGAGAAAATTTGAATAGAAAGAACAAGTGGAGTTCAATTTTGCTGGTTTGCAAAGAAAATAAAAATGGGGTTTAATATTGTGTTAAAGAAAAAAAAAATTTGAGTGTTAAAGTAAATTTTTTTTTGAAGGATAACTTAGCTAATTGTATATTCAATTGTAGGTGGTTGAGTTTGGCCGTTTGGGTTGGAATATGCCACGGAAAGAGTTGGAGAAATGTATTTATGATACTTATAGATGATGTAATCTGAGGATGGGATGCACCTTCAAAAAAGGCTAATCAAAAGGTTAATGATTTTGTGTGTGTGTGGTAACACATGCCGCAATAATTATTACTATTGGATTTTTTTATATGCCTATTGATATGTTCATTTTATATAGAGATTTACTCCCGTCCCTTGGTCATTTTTAGGAGTATTATTGGCTCTTTGGAGCCACTTTTATTACTAATATGCGTTTTATAGTGTTTTCGTAGTTTTGGTACTATTTTATAGGAAATTGCAGATTTAGAGCATTTTCCCGGACTTATGATAAGCCACTACGAGCATTGGAGAATTATGACCGTATTTCGTGGCCCAAGACCGGTTGGAGTCATCAAACCGTGATTAAGGGCTCGTTGAAGAAGAAGAGTTCGAGGCAATGGACCGTGGTTCAAAACCCAAGAGGAAATTTGGATTGGGCCAAGGAAATAGCCCAATTCAGATGTCCATGGTTGCCCGAAGAGCTCGCCCGACCGGGTAGGCCATCGCCTTGAGGCGCGCTCGGCCGGGCGAGGCATATAGAAGGAAAAGAGGCTCCGCCCTGATGCGCGCCCGACCGGGCGCGAGTGAAGGCTAAAGGCTCAAAAAAGGCGTGCCCGGCCGGGCGAAGCTCCGCCCGACCGGGCGCGTGTTTCTGAAGAGATCTAATCATTTAATTTGTTTTATCTTTTTAGCCTAAGTATAAATACGTTTATTTTAGGAAGTTAAGTACGTTTTACACTCTTTACTTAATTTTCGGATTTAATTTAAGCTTTTGGTTAATACTCATATTTTTCCCTCTACACCTTTGACTTATGCAATTGATTATTTCCATTAATTTTGGTACCGATTTCTTCCCTCTTTATTTTCAGTAATTTAATTGCTTTGCTTTAATATGCTTTTTTTAACTGCTTTGCTTAGTTTAGATTTTAATATGTGCAAGTAGTTTATTTTCTAGGGTTGTGGGGATCCATAAATAATATGAAGGGGTAATTTATTATGGTTGATTGTTAATGTTTTAGATAAATTTCCTATGATTGGTTTACTACTATGCAATTAGATTAGCACTTGTTTAATTGTATGAGTTGTGCAATATTAATTTGAGATTCGAGAGATGAGAATTGATGTTTAGGCTTAGTTTCAATAGGCAGGTTAATTTATAAATGGTTAAGTCAAGATTCGAGAGATGCAATTTAATACTGGTAGATTAATTATGTGATTGTAATACGTAGCGAAAGCCCTAATTTATGCATTGATAATTGATTGTCATGTTTTTATCCTGGAATATTATTTATTGGTGAACCTATACCCTATGCCTTTTATTATTGATTTTCTTCCTTACTCAACTTGCTTTAGTTTGATTATTAGTTTTACTCTTATAACAATAATTCGGTTACTTAATAGTTTATATTATATTAATTATTTAGGAATAGAAAGACTTGTTTCCCTGCGGATTCGACCCTACTTTCCTATCTACTTTAACTAGAGGACTTAGGTAATTCTTTTGATTAGGTGATATGACTTTAGCCTGTCACCTATTGTCCCCATCAAATGTGGGGATAAGATTTTTAGGGGTAAAGGGTGGGAAAAAAATATCCCGAAAAACAATACCTTACTTTTCTCTCTTACTCTCTAAATGTTTGTGTCAATTCACTGCGTACCAAGTATTATGAAACGGAGAACATACAATAACTTTAATCCAACACAATTTATTTTTAATGATGCAAAAGTCAAAGCTGAACAACTAGTGGACAACGTAGGGAACATTTTTTGTTTAAAAAAAAAGATGTTGCTTTGTGTAATCCGTGATTCCGTTAACACCATTCTTGAGCTCCTCCATTAACATTGCTATTCTCTCTCCTCCATCACACAAATTTGAAGAGCTTTAATGGTGAAAGTACACGCTACAATGGAAAATTGGAAGCAAATGACAAACCCTACCCTTTAGGATTAACCATGCCCTAAATTTCTCAATGTTTTCATAGGGTTTTTGTTTAGCCGCCGGAAATGGTGGTGTTCAATCTGTTTGTGCAGGTGTTGGTCTTGGCAAATTTAAAGGGACTTGAACAAGATGAAGGTGGTAGGGGTAGGAGGAAGCAGAAGAAGGTAGTAAGAGGAAGAAAAAACAGGGAGGAAGAAGAAGAAGGTGATAACTGGTAAGAGGAAGAAGAAGATGGGAGGAAGAGTTAACGACGTTAACTCCGGTGTCTTCCATCACACGTGGCCAAACTTTGATTATAATATTTTTAAATCAATTTGCACACAATTCAAGGATACTTATTTAGAATATTGCCATTTGATATGCATAATAAGTTTATCAAATAGATAAATTTGGGCTCCCTCCTATATTGCTAGCTAAGTAGCATTGTTGAATCTTTCACTACTTGAAAAATATAACTATGTAGAAAATGTTATCCAAAAAAAAAAAAAAAAGTGCAGTAGATACCATTACCGGAAAAATACAAGTTTATTTTCTTAATGACCTTGGTATGTTAACCAAGTGGAAAACCTAATTGCGTAATGTGGCATTATTTATAAGTAAAATTACTAATGGTTAGGGGTGGGACTTTTCAAACCGAACCGTGAAACCGTCCGTTACCGAACCGAACCATCACGGACCGAACCGTTTATAACCCGCTAATTTTAAACCGAAAACCGAACTGAACCGTATAATGTCAAACCGAAACCGAACCGAACCAATTAATGTTAACCCGTTACGAACCGTAAACCAATAACAAACCAAACCGTTTATAAACCGAAACCGTTTGAACCGATTAATGTTAACCCGCTAACTGTTTAAACCGAACCGTTTATAAACCGAAACCGTTTAAACCGTAGGAAAAAACCGTTTAAATCGAACCATTTACAACCCGCTAACCGTTTAAACCGAACTGTTATAACCCATTAAACCGTTTAAACCGAACTATTTTCAAACCGCAACCCGTTTAAACCGATCCGATTACAAACTATTTAAACCGAACCGTTTACAACCCGTTCCATTCAAATTGAACTATTTGCAGCCTTTAACAATTTGTTAGAATTCCACGAAATATATTTGATGTTTAATGTAATTTAACTATACAATTTTTTTTACATATAATTATTGATTTAAATTTGTAAATTGTTTTGCTATTACAAAATTAAAATTATATTCTTGTATAACTAAATTAGGAGTTATAAATTAAATGAAAAAATGAAAAAATTTGGCCACCCACCCAATCCAACCACCCTCCACCCACCCACCACCGTAACCCACCCTAACACCACCCCCGCCATCACCCCAGACCCACCCTAACACCCACCACCGTTACCGTAACCCACCCCCACCCCACCACCGTTACCGTAACCCACCCCCACTCCACCAACGTCAACCCAGACCCACCCTAACACCACCCCCACACCCACCATAATTACCGTAACCCACCCCACCCCACCCCACCACCCACCGTAAATAAAAAAACCCAGACCCAAACCTTACCCCACCCCATCCACCACCGTCACCGTAAATAATAAAAACCCAGACCCATACCCCACCCCACCTACCACCATCACCGTAACGTACCCCACCCCACCTACCACCATCACCGTAACGTACCCCACCCCACTCCCTTAACAAACCCCACCCCACCCCACCCCACCCACCACCGTCACTGTAAAAAAAAAAAAAAAAAAAAAACAGACCCAACCCCAACCACACCCACCACCACCGTAACACACCCCACCCCACCCCATACAAAAAAATCCAAACCCACCGTAACCCCACCCCACCCACCCCCACGAAACCCAACATCCTCGAAACCCCCCAACTCACTCTAATTGCTCACCCACCATAAAACTCCCTCCCTCCCTCGAAAAATCCTCCCTCCCCACCCACCCGAACCCAGTCTAACCGCCGCCGCACCCACCCTAACTCGGCCCCCTCCGTTGCCCACAACTTGAAAAAAAATTAAAAAGAAAAACAGAAAATAAAAAAAGGAAGAACGAAAACACCTTATATATTAATCCTGAATTTGGCCTCAAATTTGGTTTTAAAAGGCCAAATTTGATCATGAAACAACTAGATCTAGAGTTTCGTGGTCGAATTTGACCATAAAAACCGTCATGCGTGGTGCCGGTGGATGGAGACGGAGAAACGAGATGGAAGAAAGGAGAACATAGACGGAAGAAGGGAGAAGAAGGAAGAAGAAGAAAGGAAGAAGGAAGAGGAGATGAGAGATAAAACGAGAGAGCAGTGAGCATATTAGCAGCCATGGCTTCAAAAAATTGATAATATTACAGAAGAGGATTAAGAAAACGAGAGAGAAATCAAAAAGAGTACTAAAGAGACGATGATAAGAGTGATCTGATTGGTGGAAAAGAAAACACACGGATCGTGAATTGGAATGTGTGCGATGATAGGCCGTTAGATGACATGCAAATCAATGGCCGATATTTAATATAAGACGGTGACACGGATCATGGGATAATGGATTTGGATAGTATGTTTTTTTTTATTCATAGCTACGTACTAATAAAAACACTACTGTACTCTTAACTTTATGTAACTTATAAATTGTAAGAAACACAAATGTTTGGAAATTGGAATTGATTCAATATGACATATTTAATGTATATTAGTTATATGTATATCAGTATATGTAATAAATAATAATGTATGGTACGATTGGTATCATACTATCATTGGTATGTATAGATAATCGATAAATGTATCTGATTATTAAAACTTAAAACAGTTGATGATCGATCTAATTGAATACTTCTACTTCCCCACCCGTTTTCTTTAACTTGCAAGTTGCAACATATATATGTTGCAGCCTTGTAGGCATGTAATCTTAAAAGGTGATTAGAGAGGGTAAGACAACAAAGTAATTCAGCAATATAACTGTTTCGGGGTTTTCTGATGTCCTGCGGGAGAGTTACAATTCCGAGACTGGAACCGGACGCCTGTACCTGCAAAATAACGGAGACTCCTGAGAGCTCCCCCTCCAACGGTCAAGTTAGTACCTGATTAAGGAGTAATTAATACGGAAATTAAAGTAATAAGACCTCTCTAGGTGAGAGTGTTTAATGTTGGTAATCGGCTTTGTTAGCGAGATTAGCCGGTTATTAGTGTTCCGTAATGTTTCTGTTCTTCTCTGTTCTTCAGGTGAGATTAATTGCTTGATCAATTGCCTCTCAATTGCTTGATCCCTTTTAATGAGGATTAATTAAGTATTTATAGTCTTGAGAAG